TCCCTGGAACTGGAACTCCCCTCTCAGGAGAAGAAGAAGAACCCAAATCCCATGTGGTCACTGAATATAAATACCAGTGCCCAGAATGTTTAGGGGCACCACTCCCTGTAATTGTCTGAAACTGCATACATATTCATACAGCTCATTTTCATTGCTCCATACTGTCAATCCAGAACCTTCCTTGGCTACCTGGATACAGATGAATCTTCATCCAGATGCAGCAGCACTGTGAGTCAGATGGGATGAACTAGCTAAACAATTGTAGCTCTTTTGTTTAGCAGAGAGAGAGAACCACTACATTTGCCTAACAATCTTCTGTTAAGCAGAAGACCATATTATCCTGTACTCAACTTTCTACATTCTTGCACCTATCTATGAGGGTGTTACACGATAATCCTTCTGCACTGCTGGTTTAGTAGTATAACTCGTATTCAAGCCTGCTAGCATTACTTTGTGATTCACACAGCCTTTGTCAAAAAATATTCTCAAGTGTGTGTTGGTGTTTGTGTATACTATCACTTTACCCAACTATATTACCAGTGTATACAAGAGTAGTTGGGTCTAAATGAATAAGGGAATTGCGAACTTTACTTGAGGCACCACTAGCAGGCTTCAGGCCTTTGTCAGGCCTAGTGATGGACAGGGGCGGACTGACAACTCATGGGGCCCCCCGGTAATAGGGGATCATGGGGCCCCTGTGTCCTTGCCCAAACTCAAAAAAGCCAATGAAAAGGGTACCAGGGGCATGTCATGGGCCCCCTACTGACCCCGGGCCCTCGGGCAGTTTCAAAATGGTCAGTCCGCCCCTGGCGGTGGACCCACATTCCTGTAAGTAGCAATGACACAAATATTCCTAAGGGCCATGTTACACACCCAACATCCATGGGGTGTTGGGCAAGAAATCGCATCCCCACATCACTGTCTGGCTGGCTTGTCCTTTTTCTTCCCACATATTATTGCTCCTCTCTGCCTGAACCAAGTACATATTCAATCTACTAGGTATAGGCCACAGAAAAAGTGAATATGAAACAAGTCCAAGTCTTCCACTTTCTTGCTTTTTCCTGAAGCATAACAGGAAACATTATAATCCAACAATCTCTAAGCAATATCTATTGTAGAAACACAGTGTCCAATTTTCCATAGCAGAGGAAGGCCATTATCCATAACCACTACACCTGGCCACAAAAAGCCCCAGGCATGCCCATGGGGGCCATTGCAGGAACATTGCACTCCCTTGCCTCCTGCATACTTCTCACTTCTCCAATCTTCCCACCTCTACCATGAGTAGCTCAATATATACCCTGTTCTAAAAGGGCAAACATAGAACTGTGATCCATCTCCAGTAATAGGTAGATGCAGTAAATGTAAGGAGGTGTCCTACCTGACACCCCTGTACACAAAGTCATGTTTAGACATTTGGTTTTGGCTCAGTGTCCAGCAAATACCTTTCTGTATAATAATTGCTGTCTTTGTTCACAAATCACATTAGACTGCAATAGACTCTAAACAGAACTTCAGCTCTCTTCTCTACAGAGGTATTTTATCTTATGCCCAATACCTTTAATGATAACTAACTATACCTGTGTGCCCAAAATGTATAACCGAACAATAAACCTAATTTATCACCCACACAATTGTGCCAGTGATAATCAGTTTTGTGATGAGGGATTATGATAAAGAAAAGTAATTTTGAATAGCTGTATATTAATGGATCTCACTCAGACCAGTATTCTTTTTATCCAGGCAAAGCTAAATACATGGATGAAATATATATATAAGAACTTCTTTACCCACCACAGGATTTGTTTTTTAATGTTCACTGTAACGATTATGCGCAATAGAGACATGGAAGCTGTACGCGACAGCCATCTTGTTAAGGTCTCAGACATTTTGTTTTTCATGAACAATCATCTTTCTCTCCTTCTCCCTCCTCTTGAAAATGGAATTTGTAGCTGTAACTTGTAACAAACTTCAAAAGAGCCTCTTATCTTAATTAAAACACAAATAGATGCAACTCCTGTGCTGTATTTCACTAATTAGTCTTGACAGGTTGTCTATTTTTCAGGAACCATGAAAACCATTATCCTCTGCCCTATCGTAAAACAATAACTCAGTCCAGCCATCACACATGACCTGTTAGGCCTTTAGAGCTCTAGGAATGCAGAGCGTGCCATAAAACGTCTATTCCACATGTAACAATTCCACACAAAATTCAGAGAGTTCAACAGGAACTAGTCACATTTATATTAGGTATATATTTGAATAGGGCATATCATGCCAAACCAATCAAGGTCCTACATGACTATGTTAGCACCTAGGAAAGGGGAGAAAGCAGTCTCTTCCCTCCTGGGTTTGAAATATATTTCTGAATATTAATCTGCCAGTTGCTAGAATACCACCTGCACATACTGGAAGTTATTAATACAAGTATGAAACTATAGTTGGGACTTGGTCATAAACTTGGTGACCTCCTAGCACCCATCCCCTAAACCGGATGATTGGTCAGTTGTTCTCAGGCGACACACCTTTAATATCATAGAAAAGGACTGACAGGCCTGGTGAAGTGGATCTCTCATTTAACATCAATCAAGAAACATCTTAAGGGACTGGAGAGCCAAAGCAACATTTTTGCTTGGACAATTGAACTCTGCTAAACCAGGACTTTGCAAGTATTCTTCCTTCTTAACTCTTCCTTTTATTTCTCTATTGATTTGTTCTCTTTATGACTTTGTAACATCTTTTCTGTAAATATTTTAATTACACCATTTTGACCTTTTTTAGTAATAAACCCTATAAAAGTGTTGAAACTGTCTCTAAAAAGCTTTTAATGCAAACTAAAGAATCCCTGTCTCTTGAAGAGTGCTAAAAATCCTCTGAATATACCTGGTGGTGGTGTGTGTTGCAGTGTAAGGGTTAATTACCTAATTAACCTAACCCAGTAACAATCGCTCTCAGGCTGCTGGCACATAGATTGTGGTTCTGCGAGCTGGAAAATCTTTGTGCAGGGTGCACCTGAGAGTGGCATTGTTATGCGCGGTGCAAGATTGGCTGGTCGTTTGTCACAAGTTGGTGAGAAAAGCAGGGGTCTGACGCCACATTCTGTCACATCCACCATGTCCTGAGATTTATCCAGCCTTACCAGATAGTAGAGCCACCCATGTCCATACATACAGGACACCTGATTGACTACAAGTGATGTTCCTCTTTCAGCCCTGGTTCACATCAGTGTGGTCGTGCAGGCCGCGATTTGTGCCCATTCATTGACTGGACTCCCATTCCCCAGGACACGCAGGGAAGAAGTCCCTGCACTACTTTGGAAATCACAGCCCACACGGGAACCGATTTCCAGTGCGGGCAGCGTGCCATTAGAATTAATGGCACCCGCTTGTGGGTCCTGTATTCCTCTGTGCGGGTGGTGCGGCTGCAGGTATTTGTGCGGGTCCCATAGCGACACCACATGCACAGATGTGAACAGAGTGTCAGTGTAAGTGCTGCTGTACAGGAAATTTCAAGATGCTGGCATAAAGTCAAAATCAGGTATTGAATGACAGTGGAGTGATTTATGTTTGTGCTGAAGACTGCACTGGACTGACTGGATCAGTCACTGATTGTAGGTGGGTGATTGCATGTGTGAGTAGGGAGATGTCCCTCCAGTCATTTGTGCTCAATACTGGTGGATACTGGTTGTAAACCCTCTTAGGATTTGGGCTGCTGCCTTCTGGTACGACCTTAAGGTTGTTTCCACATGTACACTTGGAATAATAGGAAAAAAGGAGCGCTTGATGTCCAAAAGAATGCACTTTTGATAGTAGATTAAGAGGCATTTATTGAGCATAGCGACAGTCAAGTTAGTCAATAACTATTTTTTGCTTCATATTTACGCACGGATTTACATTATCTAACATCATCTATGCCACCGAGATATATACACACTGATTTATATCTCCTAAGACCTGACCTATTAGTGCAATCCACACACATTTCCATTGTAGAGTCCTTTAGGATTGATGATCACTATTATTAGTGTTGGTATCACTATTACTATTATTAATATATTTTTTTTCATTTTATTGTATTTGTATCGTGTTTCTGTAGATAGTAATGATTACAATTACTATTGCCGTTATTATCATTACTATTGAAGTTGATTCTATTTTTATTTTTTCTTTTCTGATTATTTTGAAAAGGAACTCTTGATATATATTTTTTTGTAATTTTAAAACATATGTTATCTTGGATTACCTGTTTGTTTTTTTTTCCCTCTGCATAATCAACATAATGCTCTAATTTTTTATATATTCCGTTTTTTTTTTTAATATACATATATATATATATATATATATACACACACACACACACACCATTTTTTTCCCCCTCATGTATTTGTTTTTCTGTATATTTTATGTATTTGTTCAATAGCCCTGAAGAAAGGAGAATCTTTTCTCCTGAAAGGCTTTGCTTTGATGTACTTGTCTTTATTCTCAATAAATGCCTCTTAATCTACCATCAAAAGTGCATTCTTTTGGACATCGGGCACTCCTTCTTTCCTATTATTCCAAGTGGAATGATTTATGGAATGTACAGGATTTATACCACTGAAAGAAGAAGAAGAAAGAGGTACATAGCACAAAGAGCTACATGTTTAGAAAATGTGGTCGGCATCAGTTAACATACAGGACATCGATGGAATCAGAACTGGCTTCATATAAAAAGAGGTAGAAAAAGATTAATTATGTTATACTACTAAGGAATTTAAATCATCATGTAGGAATATACTACAATAAAAAACAGTTTTGCCCCATGTCCCTACTGACATCTGATGTGCAATAAATGCTTACACCTAACCATGGTGTTGGGTCAGGAGTACAGTATCTCCCAGAAATGAGTACACCCCGCACATTTTTGTAAATTTTTTTTATCTCTTTTCATGTGACAACACTGAAGAAATGACACTTTGCTACAATGTATAGTGTAGTGAGTGTACAGCTTTTGCATCATCATTAGAAGAGGCTTCCTTCTGGGACAACAGCCATGCAGACCAATTTGATGCAATGTGCAGCGTATGGTCTGAGCACTGACAGGCTGACCCCCCCCCCCCCCCCCACCCCTTCAACCTCTGCAGCAATGCTGGCAGCACTCTTATGTCTATTTTCCAAAGACAACCTCTGGATATGACGCTGAGCACGTACACTCAATTTTGTTGGTCAACCATGGCGAGGCCTGTTCTGAGTGGAACGTGTTCTGTTAAACCGCTGTATGGTCTTGGCCACCATGCAACTCAGTTTCAGAGTCTTGGCAATCTTCTTATAGCCTAGACCATCTTTATGTAGAGCAACAATTCTTTTTTTCCGAACCTGAGAGAGTTCTTTGCCATGAGGTACCATGTTGAACTTCCAGTGACCAGTATGAAAGAGTAACACCCAATTTAACACACCTGCTCTCCATTCACACCTGAGACCTTGTGTAACGGACCGCCTGGCGGTACCACTAGAACTCCACAGGTCAGGTGCCCCCAGAGTATGGAATCTAAGCCCCAGAGCACTTGTTCACCAGGGCCCCTGATGGTGGGGATGGACTTGGAGCGCTCTGAGACCAGGTCGTGACTACTGAGTACACCCACCAGTGGTAGGAGTGTTCGCCAGGGGCTCCCACAGGGGAGAGCCTGATATGAGGAGGTCGGGTGACCCCGATGGGATGGATGGCTGAGCAGGTGCGAGGTCAGACAAGCCGGGTTGGTTGCCGTGGGGGACGGTGCGGTACAAAGCAGCGGGCAGAGAATAGTCGGGTCACACGCCAGGTCAGCAACAGAAGATCAGATCCAATAGGGGGCATCCAGGAGAGAGGTCAGGCAAGCCAAGGGTCAGAGCAGGAGAATACAGCGTGGTCAAGGACAATCCAGGTCAGCAACAATCAGGGTACAGGTTCACAGGTAACAGGAATGCAGAAAAGACCAGACGGCACTCAATGACAGTTCAGGGCTGTTTAAATATCGTGCCCTGCGCTGTCATTGGTGCCAGGCGCGTGCCCGCAGCCTCTAGTGCGCATGCGCGAGTTCGGATGACGCAGCTGGCCCAGACCTAGTGCCCGCGTCCCTGCACAAGGCGGCGCACTGCGCCTGTGCCGGGAGCAGAGCCGCGGTGATCCCTGACACCTTGTAACACTAACGAGTCACATGACACTAGGGAGGGAAAATGGCTAATTGGGCCCAGTTTAGACATTTTCACTTAGGGGTGTACTCACTTTTGTTGCCAGCGGTTTAGACATTAATGGCTGTGTGTTGAGTTATTTTGAGGGGACAGCAAATTTACATGTTATACAATCTGTACACTCACTATGTCACATTGTAGCAAAGTGTCATTTCATCAGTGTTGTCACATGAAAAGATAGAATAAAATATTTACAAAATTGTGAGGGGTGTACTCACTTCTGAGATACTGTATAAGTGCAGATATTTGAAATGATATAATACCATTTAACCCAGTTATTTTATTACTTAAAAAAAATTTTTTTTTTTTTTTAAATGATTCCAGCCACAAAGATCCATATACTGTAAATTCCTAAAGCAAAAAGTTACCTCTTGCAATGGCATACAAAAAGTTCACATACTGCTCACAGATTGCAAGCATTTTGTACATGTACACGGGAAGAGGAGGATCAGATAATTGTCAGGATCTCTCCTTGTCCATTCACAGAATGCATTGTATTATGTGAACAGAATACAAAGTGTTTTATGAATGGACAAGAGGAGAAGAAAATAAATCACTTCACTGTATGAGAGTCGCTGATCTCATATCCTCAGCACCCAAAGTTCGCCCTGACAGTTATATCCGACAACCTAATAAATGACAACAGAGGTAATGTGAACACTTTACACCCTATTACAAGAGGTAAGAGTTCATATAGATTTTGTGGATGGACTTCCACTTTAATAACAGCATGTAAAAGAATCTCTCTAGCTCTCTGTTTCTGCAGGAATAAAAGAGGTAGAACAAGACCTGTGAACCAGTCAGGCAAGTATATCTTGTACAAACAGTAAAATCTTCAGCCGTGAAGTGTCTGGACATTATAAGTGTGTATTTATCAATAACAAAGTACAAAGTAGTTCTAGGTAACTTGCTCAAACCCTCAGAAAAAAAAATATTGTTTCCTATTAGCTTCATTTTATTAGTTGCACATTCCTTGTTTTTCCTAATTTCCTACTATTTCCTATTTCCGACTTGGGATTGTGCTCTGTGCATATCACACACAACGCGCAACATGTAGAAGCCGAGAACTGGGACATCAGCTGTCAATCTGAGAGTGATAACAAAAGTGGAAGTAGATATGATCTCTTCCATGTTGCACATGTAATTATTGTGTCACAGACAAAATTCTGTCTGAGGCAATTCTGCAGCTTTTTCATATACACAAGTAGCTCCAGTTGTTGCACAGACGGAAGACAGACTTCTAATTAACCATTTCTGCTGCATTTCTGAAGAAGAACAGGGTGAAAGTGATTCAGTGGCCAAGTATGTCTCCTGAACCCAATGGAACACCTCTGGGGAATTCTGAAGAGACAAGTTGAGCATCAATCTCCGTCCAGCATCCAGGCTCTAAAAGAGGTCGTTCTTGAAGAATGGAAAAAGATAGATGTTGCAATATGTCGCCAACTTGTTCATTCCATGCCTAGAAGATTTGATGCTGTCCTTACAAACCATGGAGGTCATACAAATTTACTAGCTGTAATAGTTTTTGTTGTGGGGTGTATTCATTCTTGCATCAAATAATTTGAGTAAAACTGAAGATTTTGTAATCTAAGTTTTATTATTAACCACTTCCAGTCCGGACACTTTTACCCCCTTCCTGTCCAGGGCAATTTTCAGCTTTGAGCGCTATCACACTTTGAATGACAATTGCGTGGTCATGCAACACTGTACCCATATGAATTTTTACCATTTTTTTGAGGCAGATAAAACTTTATTTTGGTGGTATTTATTCACCGCTGGGATTTTTATTTTTTTTGCTATGTGAATGAAACTGTCCAAAATTTTTGAAAAAAAGTGTTTTTTCTTATAAAATTTTGCACTTAAATAATAATTTCATCATAAATCTTGGTCAAAATTTATTCTGTTATCTTTTTAGTAAAAAAAAAAAATATAAGCCAAATTAGTTTATATAACACAAAAATTATAATTTTTAAACATTTTTTTTTACATTTTTATATTATTAATAATTTATTTTTTTTTTATTTTTTTTACATACTGTCACCCTAGCAGTACAGTGTCACCGTGGTGACACTGTACTACTTTTGGGGGGTGATGAAGATTTTTTTTTTTACACTGATTGCTTTTACACCCATATAGGATGTAAAAGCAATCATTTCTCTTTCTCTCTGTCTGCATTCTTGCAGCCATTGAGAACTACTGAGTGAGCTGTGATTGGTCACACAGCTTGTCACATGGTACAAGGCTGTTGTGAATAGCCTTGTACCATGTGACCTCTGTGATCATTCAGAGATTTCACACATAGTAAAGCAATGATGTCATAAGTGAAGAAAGTGATGTCACAAAAACTGGATTATGATCCGACCCAGGACTTTACAAAACAATTAAAAGGTCTCATTAAGACACTTCCAGCCCACCTACATTCAGAACTTATAAATGCAATTCCTGGTCATCCAGAAATCGGGGACTTCTACATGCTGCCCAAAATCCACAAGCCAGGAAATCCAGGCAGACCCATCATAACAGGTATTGGTATGAACACACTCACCGAACAAATCTTTGTAGAAAAAAAATGTAAAACCGTTAGTCAAGAATACTGCTAGTTTCCTGCAAGACACAACTGACTTTCTGAACAAGATCAACAACATACAGCAATTACCATCTAATACACTTCTAGTGACTATGGATGTAGTATCCCTGTATAGTAATATCCCTCACAAGGATGGATTAGCTGCATTAACAGATCCTTATCATCCTCACCAAAACCAACAAATACGCTGTCTTGAAGGATATGTTAACACAGCTCATTATGGATTCAGAAGGTGAAGAAAACCTAAAACAATTTTTAATCATTGATTGAACACTTTTTTTCATCCATCAATCAAACTAAAAATGGAATACTCAAACACAACGTCAACTTCCTAGACACCACAGTATACATCAGGGAGATACGCTCACACCATCCTCAATATACAGGAACTCCCACTGACAGATGCAACTACCTCCACAGTTCCAGCTTCACCCCCAACACACGAAACCGTGCCATCATACTCAGTCAGGCCCTTTAGATACCACCCGAATTATGGTCTGACCCCCACAGACAGAGATAAAATTTGGTCAGCTTGGTGACACTAGCGACCTCCTTCACATAATAAAGGTTACAAGGGACAAAACTATCACCAACCGGCAATAAACACAGCCTTGAGAACCCTACGAGAAAATCTCCTTCAGTACAAGGATGAAAAAAAACAAACAGACCGTTCCCCTAAACCTCTAGTAACCACCTACAACCACCATAGAAGGCTCTAAGGAGAAAAATAATCAAAGAGTTCCAACCCCCTCAAACCGAGGATGGGGACTCAAAAGAAATATTCCACAACTACCCCCTTGCAATAACCATAGGGCCTTACAGAAGACAACCCACTCCAACCCCAGAAATCCCCTCCCCCATCAGTAGGAAACTTCCACACTTCTGATATGTCACAAATACTATGGAAGCACACCCTGCCACCTAAGAAACGCTGCAAGCTGAGCAACCAAATCAATCCCCCCAAAAAACAATGTCAGACACTACAAAAGCAATCTTCAATATATTCCGGATCATTACAGCAGCGCTGTACATCATGCTACAGTAAGATTTATTGTAACGGACATGTAAGATTTTGAGTGGAAAAATGGTATCATAGCCATGACAGGTTGAGTAGGATTAGATTAATGTCTAGGCCCTTTCATTGCTGCAAAGGTGTCGTGCAGGAAACAGTCTGGTCATTAAGGATGTACATTGAGCCCCGATGGGCAGGTCTAGGGAATTCGAATACTGAAGGTACAAATGGTCTGGTGTCATGATGTGTATGTTATACACAATTACTCCATAGGCCTTACAGACCAATCATCATTTAGCATTAATTAGCCTAAAGCCAGGGTTTTCCTGGATTGACACCTTTTCGATTGTGTCATCAGGTTCTCACCACATCTAGGAAAACCACTCATGATCCTTCAGACAGACGGTCTGCCTTTTAGTTGGAAAAGCTATATAAGTAATATTCTACATCAAAGAAGCTATGTTTAATCTCTTATAAAAGCTCCAAAATATTAGTTGGAGTGAGATTGAAATGCCTCACTTTGTGCAGACCATTCTGTGCGCTATCTATTTACATATATAGAATCACTTTTGTGGCTTGCGGAGGAAGCCAGGTAAATGCTATGGAATGATTAGTTGACGCGGGGGTGGACAAGTCACGATGATGTTTGGTACTGTTGCGATCAGGAGCTGATGCGCCCGGTGTCATAAATCTTCCAATCCCCCGACTTGGTGATTCAGGCCAGTCTTCGCCCCAATATGAACTTCTGGGCAGGCCATACACAGTACCTCTTGTGTGGCAGGTCATACCACCTCCCCCAGAGTCAATCTTACTCCGAAGACTAATGTCCCTTACCCATGTACCAAATCGCAATTAAATTGACCATGGACTTTTGGACATGGTTATTCTTTTCGGGAGTCTGGTTCGATTGACTAGCGGCTTATTGCAAGTTTCTGGCTTCTCCAAGCCGCAGGACTAAAGTGTTTATCTGTCCTTTTTATATCCGACTTCTTATTATATAGTATTATGGTCATTATTTGTGGTGTTCTTAATTATATCTCTTTTGTATTTCTGTAAGCGCCGCTCTTGTTATAATTTTGTACATATTTTTATGCACAGCCCACTTTGGGAGAAATATTAAATCTTAAAATTAATTAGTGAACTTCTGTAGTAACTTTAAGCACGAGCATCATATCTTCCGGAGAGAGACTAGATCGAGAGATTAGATTGGGTCAATCATTGGTATTGTAATTTTAGTGCCTATTAAAACGTCTCGGTTAAGCCATTGCTAATCTGTATGCAACTGCACTGTGAGTGAGGCAGGATAGCACGCAGTTGCAAAGTAACAGTCTGCCAGAACGGAGATCTGTGTGTGTGGGGTCTCACAGACCGTTCTGCGATAAACTGTTGGGTGGTGCAGGCTACCTTTGTGGT